CCCTTACTAATGTACTGACCAAGGGGAATCCAGATCTTTAACTGTCCTTTTGCCACTGTTTAGTTTTTGAGAAATAAATTCAAATCAGGCACAAAAATAGCAAAACCCATGTAGAAGGCACTCAGGATGTTATGGCCAAAAGTTCACCTCATTTACCTTTATTTAGCCAAAACAAAAATACCCAGAAAACAGAAACCACTAGCTTGCATACCCAGAAAAGGTAGTATGCATTTTAATTAACATTTTCTCTAGTTTCAGATTTCTACAGCTATGCCAATTCTGTAGAACACAGAGTACGTAATTTTTCCAGGACACAGTGCCCAGTAGAGAAATCCTAGTCTTCTACTAAACAATTATTGGCGATAATATCTCTACCTAAGCAAAACACAGAATCATTTTTTTTTTTTTGTTTGTTTCACATTTGGTTTTTGAGACAGGGTCTACATAACTTGGGCTGGCCTTTAACTCATTATCTTCCTGTCTCAGCCTCCTAAATACTGGAATTTGCTAAGCATTATCATGCCCAGCTGAACTGCATTCTTTATGCAAATACTTAAAAAAATTTATTTGTATGCAACATTCTGCCTCCAGTACTCCTGCAAGAGGGCACCAGATCTCATTACAGATGGTTGTGAGCCATCATGTGGATGCTGGGTATTGAACTCAAGAGCTCTGGAAGAGCAGCTGGCACTCTTAACCTCCAAGTCATCTCTCTAGCCCTGAGAATACTTTTAAAAGGGTGGTAATTTATGGGCTGAAGAGATGACTCAGAGGTTAAGAGCACTAGTTGTTTTCCAGGGGGCCTCAGTTCAATTCCTAGCAACCACATGGCGGCTCATAACCAGCTATAAGATCTGGTGCCCTCTTCTGGCCTGCAGGGATACATGCAGACAGAACACTGTATACATAATAAATAAATCTTTTTTTAAAAAATGGTAGTTTACCATAATTACAGTATTTAGGAGGCTGAAGCAGGAGACTAGGCATTGAGTTCCAGACCAGCCTGAACCTTTCTCCTAAAACCAACCAAAGGTAAACATGGTAGCTGTTAGTATTCAGGCTTCTATCTGTACTGGCCTGTCCTTGGGATTCTGACAGGACACACCCTCAGTTGCAGCCACTAAGAGCACCATCTGTGCACATTCACTTTGTACCCATTTCCCATCCTTCTCTTTCTGGCTTTCCCTCCCTCCCTTCTTTCCTTTCTCCTTTCTCCAGCTGCTCTGTCTCCAAAGGCTGCTCTCCCCTCTTCCCATTCCCCTTATGATCCATTTCCCTAATAAAGCACCCCTCTGCTTGAACCCTGTCGAATGTCCATTTTCTTAAATTACAACAGTAGCAATGCAGTTCCAGCACTGCTACAGCAAGATGGGAGGTGAAAACTAGAGAATGCCCAGAAGGCCAACTAACCGGCTATCCAGAAAAAACAAGAGACCCTGTCTTAAATACCGTAGAAGGCAAAGACTAGCACCTGAGGTTGTCTTGACTTCTAATAATGTGTACCCTGGCATGTGCATGCATGAACTTGAATATTCTCTCTCTCTCAATTTGGGTTTTCTGTTTTGTTTTAAGAACTGTGGCCTATGACATGGCTCTGTGGGAAAAGGCACTTGATGTCAAGTGTGACTGATCTGAGTTCAATTCCTAGACCCACACAGTGAAATGAGGACTTCTGCCAAGTTGTTGTCTGAAGCCCAGTGGTGCCTCACACCTTTAATCCCAGCACTCAGGAGGCAGAGGCAGGCAGATCTCTGTGAGCTTGAGGCTAGCCTGGTTTACAGAGTAAGTTCCAGGACAGCCAGAGCTACATAAGAGACCTGTCTTGCAAAAATAAAAAAGTTGTCTTCTACCTTCCACACACGTGCTACAGCATACATGCACTCACACAGACACATGGATACGTGTGGTTAATAGTTACCAATAACCCAACCAACTTCGCCATGGCCTTATTATTTTTAATATACAACACTATATAACCTGATAATTTAATTATTAATTTCCCATCGCAAATTTATGTATTATCTATTATCAAAACATAATTTTTCAGTATGTAAGAAACATAAAAATAGCTTTAAAAACAATCAAAGACTATGAAACTCCCAAAACATGTAAAACATTTAAGCTGGATACAAACATCACGCATTATGAACTATAATCAAACTATTGATTTCAATTTAAATAGCAAAGCTGAGATTTTTTTGTAATAAAGTTATTTTATTCTAAAATAAATAACATTTCCTAATATTCATGATTAAATTATTCTACCATATCTCCCTTTAAGTGTACCTGCTAGCTCTTTGTCTACTTTCTGGGGTGGGGAGGGTACACTGACCACATTAAACCATAAAGAAAGTTAACGACCCTTTAACTTATCACTTGAAGTTTATTTTGCAGCATGTTTCTTCAATATCATGTAATGTACTGATCGGGACTGTTTATAAATGTAATGCTTGGCTTTTGAGACAATTAAAAACCTTTATGTACTAAAATTTTACATCATGATTTGTTTAACTTAAGAAGAGTTATGACGGTGAAACTAACAGAAGATTTAAAGCAGAAATATGATGACTTTTGGAAAAAACCAGCCACTCCTCCATTATGTCAGATGAAGAGGAGGAAGACAAAAGGAAAAGGATGAGACAAAAGCATGAGGGCAAGAGAAGCCTTCTCCCCCACTTGCAGATGACAATCAACCAGGGCAGTTTATGCGAAGGCTTCTTCTTTACATGTTGTTGAATCCCATCATGCCTTTCATGTTGCCTGCAGCACCTTGCTGGAACTGCCTCATCATTGACTGGAGTCCTGCCATGCCACCTAGAGGGAGACAGAGTAAAACCGGTCATTCCCACCTGAGCTCTGAAATGGTTACTGCTTTTGCCTAACATGTACTTTAATTTATAAAAAATAGTGTTTTAGGCCCCCTGCATGTGGGTGACAGTTAGGAGGCCTGGGCAGTGTATAGGGTGCCTGGTAAGGGAACAGCATTTATACATAGCGTACAAATGGACATTGGGAGCCCATTCCCTATGGAGAGCTACTCTATCAACCTAGACACATGGGGGAGGGCCTAGACCTCCCCCCCAATGATGTGACAGACTTTGAGGGTCCCCCATAGAAGGCTCACCCTAATTTCTATGGAGCAGAAGAGGGATGGGATGGGGAGTCAGTGGAGGGCATAGGAGAATGGGAGGGAAAGGGAACTGGGAATGATATATAAAATAAGATTGTTTCTAAAAATGTGCTTCATGAAGTTACCATGACGCATAAGGTAAAACATGAAAAGATCTTGTCCACAATCAAGAACTCTAAACAGAACATTTTCAGTGACAAGACTAAGTCTTCTTGTAATGAAAATTAGTTTTATATGACGTGATCAATTCAGGATAAGGGCTGTGTTTCAAAGTTATGGAAAAAAAAAAAAAAAGAACTTACCATTTATTAAGCATTTACTATATGTCCAGAACTATACTAAAGGCTTTTACATATAGTACCAGCTTAGTCATTTGTCACAATCTCCTGATGAGCCATTATCTAAAATGTTTATCGAAAAGTTAAGTTTACAAACTTTTAGGGATTTTTCAGAGATTACATAGTAAAAATGGAATTGGAGTTCAAAAATTTGTGATTTCAAAAGTTCTATAAATAAAAATGCCCATCTAAAATAGGGGAAAGATCAATGGAAGAAGTATTAAGGACAGATGATTAGGGCTGGGAAGCAACTCAGTGGGAGAGTGTCTGCCCAATATACATGAGGCTCAGGCTCAATCCCTAGACTCCTCAACCTGGAAGCCCAGACAGGAAGTCAGAAGCTCAAGACCAAGCTGGGCTGTGCAATAAGACCCAGCCAGTGTGGATCACCTGAAATTCTATCTCAAACCAGACAAAGCAAAACAGCTTGCCCCTTCCCCCAAATTACCCAACAGGCCAGACATGGTGGCACAATCTTTAATCCCAGCTCTTGGGAAGTAAAGTCAGACAGATCTCTTTGAGGTGAAGGCCAGCTTGGCCTTCATACCAACTTCCAGGGCAGCCAGAAGAACTACACGGTGAGACACCATCTCAAAGCCTTTCTCAAATCCCCAAATAAATAAACAAGATAAAATAACTTTTAAAACCTAGAAAAAAATTTGGGTTTGGGAGATGGCTCCTGAGGTAGCAAGCCTATTTCCTGCATAAGCATGAGGACCTGGATTTGGAAACACAGCACCTTAAAGCTGGACCCAGAGGCCAGTGCTCTAAAATCCCAAGCCTGGGGAGTAAAGAGGAGAGCAAAGACACATGTGGATCGTTGGGTGGCCAGCCAACCCAGCTGAAACAGCAAGCTCCAACCAAGTTAGTAGTTAGAGACACATCTTTAAAAAGGTGAGCAAGAGAGGAAAAAATGGTCTTCGCATGTGCTTGTCCTACTATACACATGCATGCGCACGCGCATACAAACACACACACACACACACATACACACAGAGCAGCAGCAGCAGCAGCAGAAGAAGAACGAAGAGGAGGAAACCTCTATTTATAAGCTAGGGAAATGGCTCAGCAAGTAAAAGCGCTAGTTGCTCAAGCCTGATGACCCACATGAATTCCCAGAAGGCATGCAGAAAGCTACAAGCAGCAGTGTGCATCTGAAATCTCGGCACTCAACAAGATAAAGGCTGTAGGTCCACTAGCCTGGACTACACATAGTGTAGCAGGAAAACATGAGGTACTGCTTCGGTAAGGCACGAGGCAGGGACTGATTGGAAGATTGTTCTTTGATCTCCATGAGCACACACTTACATCATATACACCAGTCACAAAGTAACACACAGACACACAAAGCTCTTGAGAAACTGTTCAAAACACTTCTACTTATCTAGAATGAGTCAGGATTAGGTGGCCTTCTCCCTTCCACCATTTATCTTTTAAACAGGTTTTCACAGATCACTACGAAAGTATTCCCATTAAATTATAACTCTATAAATTAACAGTATGCTACAACTGGCCAAGGCTTTTGTACTTACCCATGTGATGAAGAACTCGTGGATCCATCATTTTGGCCATCTGTTGATTCAATTTTGCCATCTGTGACTGACTCACATTCTTAGACATATCACCACCTGATTAAAGAAAAATTATTATTATGTGATGTTGTGATGTAGTATGGAATATCATACACAATTTACTAATTTTTTTTCTCAAATATATTTTTCTGAGGAAAAACACATGTGACCAGCTTTTCATTGTTTTCACTGCATTAGCCCTGGCTAAACTGGAATTCACTATGTAAGCCAGGCTGGACAGAGATCCACCTGCCTCTGCTTCCTGAGTAATGGGATCAAAGGTGTGAGCCACCAAGCCTGGCTAGCTTTTTCTTAAAGCTATGATTTTTCCCCTAATATTTTTAGTTACAAATGTGATGAACTAAGAAGCAGAAGTGAGTGGTTATGAACAGGTGCAGTGGCAACTGCTTAACAGCACTAAGAGGAGGGACCCACACTTTTCCTTTGACCCCCGAGGGCCTGAGCGGCACACTACAGTACAACAACCAACAAAACTAGGCAGCCCCTGCCAGAGACCCTGGTGAGGTAGACAAGGAAAGAACCAAAGGACACAGTCAGGCAGCTCTGTCTGTGCATGTGTGCACTCAGGGAATTCCAAAAGACCAAACAGGATCACATGGGCCTGTGGTGCTCCTTGGCTGCCCTGAATATATTATCCTGTACCATTCTGGAAAGAAGTATCAATCTCCTCAAATAACACAGGAGACACAAAAATCTTCATTAATCATGTGGTACCTGAAATGGCTATCTATGCAGTGTTTGTTTGCCAAAAGTTGCTTCATTAAAAAGTAATTTATAATAAAAAATATGGCTGTGGCAGGGCTAGAGATATGGCTCAGCTGTTAAGAGCACTGGCTGCTCTTCCAGAGGACCTAGCTTCAATTCCATCATCCACATGGTAGCTCACAATTGTCTGTAACTCCCGTTCAGGGTATGACACTTCATACAAATATACATGCAGGCAATACACCAATGTACATAAAACAAAAACAAATAAAAAAATATATGGCTGTGGCTAGAGCTCAGTGAGTGGCACACTGCCTAGCATGCAGAAGGCCCTAGCTCCAATACTCAGCAATGGGGGAGGATGCAGACAATGATAAAAGGGATGAACAAAAGGATGAATTTACTGATAAGGACTAAATGGAAGAGACTGGGTAACTGGTAAATGAACATAAGGAATAAGTCTGACAGAACAAATTTTTATTTTTGACAGGGGGGTTTCAAAACAGGGCTTCCCTGTGCAACTGTGGTTATCTTGGAATTTGCTTTGTAGATCAGATTGGCCTTGAACTCAGAAACTCAAGAGATCCAAATGCCTCTGCCTCCCTGGTCCTGAGATCAAAGGTGTTTGCCATAACCACCTGGCATATGATTTCAAATTTCTTTTTTAATATTTGTAGGCGTTTTGCCTACCTAAGGAAGCAGAAGTTGGAGCATGTGGATCTGGAGTTATAAGACAGTAGCAAGCTGCCATGCTGGGAGTAAGAATGGAACCTGGGTCTTCTAGAAGAACAACTAGTACTCTAACAACGAAGCCACTTCTCCAACCCATCATAAGTCAACATCTTTTAAAATAATAATTAGCTAGGTGTGGTGGTCCACCCCTTTAATTCCAGCACTTGGGAGACAGAGGCAGGCATATCTCTGGAATTTGAAGCCAGATGGTTCTACAGAATGAGTTCCAGGATACCTAGACCTACACAAGAAACTCTGCCCCCTCCTCCTCAAAAGTTAAAACAACAAATTTTAACAAAACAAAAAAAAAAAAAATTTTTTTTTCCAAGACAGGGTTTTTCTAGCTGTCCTAGAAGTAGCTCTTTAGACCAGGCTTGCCTCAAACTCAAGAGATTCGCCTACCCGCCTACCTCTGCCTCATGAGAGCTGGGAGCATGTGCCACCACTGCACAGCTCAATTAAAAAAAAAAAAAAATATTTAGAGGGCTAGAATAATAAATTTTTCAGAAAAACAATACCCTTTTATTTTATACTATACATAGCAAAATAAAGTCAAGCAGGAATAAAAGTCAAACAAAAAACAAATCTGAGCAGGTGATAAAGCTGAGTGGTACAGGTACAGCACCTACACAGCATGCATGAGATTCTGGGTTTTGAGTCCTGGTCCCACAAAAATCAATCAAAAAAAAAAAAAAATGAGTAGAAGAAAATACTCAGCTGATTATTGTGGTATCAACATGCAAAAGGCTGTATGAAAAAAAGAGATCAAAGGAAAAGATAAACAATAAACAGGCATGGCTTACATTAAAATGGCTTTTGTTTGTTTGACTGATTGATTGAAACCGGGGTCTCTCTACATAGCATTGGCTGTTAAAGAACTCGATTAATAAACCAGGCTTGCCTCTGCCTCCCTGAGTGTTGGGATCAAAAACATGCACCACTATTCCCAGCTTTGTTTTTTGAGATAAGGTCTTACTATGTAGGTCTAACTGATGTTGAACTTGAAGATATGCTCCTGCCTCCTAAACGCTGGGATTAGAGACACTGTGCCCACCTGAAACTTTGGAGAGGGAGTGGTGGGCTAGGAATCAAACTCAGAGCCTCAAGCATACTAGCCAAGCGCTCCACCTCTTAAGTTATAACTAAAGGCCTAGAAACAGAAATTTATCAGAAAACAAAGTAAAATGAAAAACTTGGGACAGTCTTTGCTGATGAAAAGCAAGGATGTTTAGGCATTATTACAGAACAAGAGGGAGAAAAAAACTGAGGGACTGAACAAGGGAGACATGAGTCACAAACAAAACAATCAGTAGATGCACAAAGGAAAAATAAAACTTTAAACATAACTAGAAATGTAGTGAGAAATATGTGACCACTAAACTAGAAACTACATTAGAAAATTTACTTAGTGTCTACTATATTTCTAATCAAAGAGGACAAAACTGACTCCAAGGAATTGCCTAGACACTGACCAGAACACAAATAAGACAAGCCAGTTCAGGATCTAACAAGAGGCACGAAAGATACCAGCACTGTTCAAATACTAGGAGTTCATGGGGAGGGAGGGAGAGAGGGAGGGGGAGGGAGGGACAGGCAGGAGGGGGCAGTTTCTGATACTGGGTCTAGCTACATAAGGAATCACAGGTGATCAGGATAGCAATACTTTTGTGTCAAGAATGCTGGGAGTGTAAGCATGTGATAGCCAATTCTGTTAATTGTTTGGAAATATGGAAAAATAGTTATATCCACTTTTGTGTCCAGTAGCATTTTTGGGAGTCTCTGAGGAATGAAAAAAGTTTTTTTTATATTCTTACATTCTCTAAATATTCTATAGTAATGTATGTTGATGGAAATAAAATAATTTTCAATATTAATGTCTACCAGCTTGATTCTAAAAGGCATTACATGATAAATCCTGGTGGTACTTGACTATAAAATTGAGTTCAGATTGTCTCTCTTGTTCAAGTACTGTGATGGAACCTAGGGACTAAGACAGGCCCTACCACTGAGCAAAACCCCAAGCCAAGAACATGAACTTCAGCATCAACATTTCCAGTAATATTTTGTTCCTTAAATTCATTATTTTAAGTGATAAAGTACTTTCCCCTTACCTTTGAAAAGTCCTTTGATACCGCCCATCTTTTTCACCATCTGTGCAAACTTAGTGTACTGCGTCAGAAGTTCTTGGACATCTCTTGTTGATACACCTGACCCTCTGGCCACTCTCTGGATTCTGCCTGGTTGCTTACTAAAAACCTTGGCACCATCTGTACTGTCCAGTTCTGCAGACAACAACCAAATAATTTCATTTACATAAGATTATCATTTATTATCACAGTAGTCAAGCACTCTGCCTCTGAGTTATACCTCCAGTCCTAAAAATGGAAACTTAACGGATTAGAAAATAGAAATAAAGCCAAATGAAACACTCGGGACAAAACCCAGGACTGAACAAGGAAGAGGTGAACACAAAGGAAATTCAAATGGGCAATATATAACTTCAGATGATTGTACAGATAAGTTTTTTATTTACTTTTATGTTTTAGAGACAGGATCTTATGTATACATAACTAGCCTCAAAATTTCTATGTTGGTAAGGCTGACCTTGAATTTCTAGCTTCCTGCTTCCATTTCTTGAGTGCTGGGATTACAGTGTTTGATACCACACCCAGTTTACTGGGTGCTAACAAAGGGATTCCTGTATGCAAGATGATCGCCCCATCAACCCTCAAATGTAGGGGGAGGATATGTGTGTGTATATGTGTGTGTGTTTGTGTGCACGCATGCCTGCAAGTGTTGATGTATATGTGTGTAAAACTGAGCACTCTTCCAACTTATCTGTTTGACAGAGGGTCTCTCAATGAACCTAAAGCTTGCTGTTTGGGTAGGCGGGTTGAGCAGCAAGCTCCTTAGGATCCTGTCTCCACTCCTCAGCAGAAGGGTTAGAGGAATGTATAGCCATGCCTATCTTCAGTACATAGATTCTGGGGATCTGATATTCAGTCCTCTTGCTTCACAGCAAGTGCTCTCACCTCCTGAGCCATCACCCCAGCTTGTTTCTTTTTGCAGAGATAAATTTCATTTTTCTGTCTGTACTTTATATCTTATACATATAACAACATGTAAATGGTCAAACCACAAAACAGATTTAATCAATGTTACAGTTCGCCATGTTTAAAGTTTTAAAGTAAAATACATTAAAAATATTTATAGCATTAGAAAAAAAGGAACAAAGCCAACATATATATATATATATATATGTACATATATATATATACACACACACACACACACACACACACACACACACACACATATATATACTTTATCTACAATTTAAATGGAACATCCTGAGAACCAACAGTCACAGTAACATATACCTTTAACCCTAGGACTAGGAGGCAGAGGCAGGAGGATCTCTGTAAGTTTTAGGTCAGTTTGGTCTGCATAGCAAAAGACTTCTGGAACTCCATGTCTAACACTCTGTATTTCACATGTTCATTCTTTCTATATCCTCCACACATCAAAAGAATGTGGCATTGTTTCAAAAACAGATCAGAAGCACTCATGTTGATTCTATTAAATAGCTATTAAATAGCTGCTAACTTCTAATTCATAAATTTAGATCTCCTAAGAAAGTAGAAACAGAAGATTCCACATATAAATAATGGTATAATGCAGAAATTATACCTGGTGGATATTCTAACCCTTTTGTAGTGTACTCATGAGTCCCCCATAGCTTTTTGATCATTCCGAATGTAAGGTGCAGTTCTTCTGCCTTTACTTATATGCAATGTAAGAAATGAGGTGGACTTAAGTCAAAACAACTACTTTAAGCTATATATGATAGGTGGCACACATACTCAGGAGGTTGAGGAAGGAGGATCACAAGGTTTGAGGCCAGCTTGGTATACACAGCAAACTCTTATCAAAACCAGAAAAGGGGGGAGGGGTAAAAAAGAAAAAAATAATCCACAATGTAACTGTCTCAAAACAAAATAAACAGAACCAGAATGCAGTCATAAGAGAAAATACCTCTCAGTCTCTTTTTCATTGTACCTCAGGCTGAGCTCAAACTTGTGATCGTCTTGTCTTGGCCTCTTAAGGGACAGGATTACAGGCATATGATATGCCTAATCCAACATTCTCATTTATAACATCAATGACATCCCTTAATAAGCAGCCTAGATAGCTCAGTAGATAAAGCTGCTTGTTGCCAAGCTGATAACCTGAATTCAATCCCTGAAATTTATGTGCTAGGAGAATCAACTTTCCCAAACTGCCTTCTGACCTCGACACATATATACCAAGCTGCCCCCCTACTCCCCCCCCCCCCGAATAAGTAACTAAATTACTAATGGGGGAGGGGAGGCCAGGGGAATCTGGGCAATGTTGGTGCACAGCTTTAATTCCAGCACTTGGGAGATAGAGGCAGGCAAATCTGAGTTTGAGGCCAGCCTGGTCTACAGAGCAAGTTTCAGGACAGCCAGGGATACACAGAGAAACCTTGTCTCAAAACAAACAAACAAAGGAAAAAACACCCAAAAACAAAATAAATAAAATTAGAGTAGGGGGCAGCTCAGTGGTTAAGAGAATTGGCTGATTTCCAGAAAACCAGGGTTTGTTTCTCAGCATCACACAGTTCTCAACAGCCTTTAACTCCAGTTTCAAGGAATCCAATACCCTCTCTGACCGCCCCAGGCACAGCACACACACTGTGAACAGACATACATGCAGGTAAAACACCCATACACATAAAACAATAATTAAAAAACCAGTTTCCATTATTAAAAAAATAGGTGGCCTCAGTCATAGCACCCCAGTGACTGGTTAACAGTATAGTAAATACAAGCTTGCACAGTTTCTAGAATCAGTCCAAGTACAGGCCTTTAATCCTACCTAGCAGGAGTAGAGGCAGAGTATCTCTTTCCAGTTTAAAGCCAGTTTGGTCTACATAGCAAGTCACAGGTTAGCTAAGGCTACATAGTGAGACTGTCTCAAAAAAACAAAATAACAAAAAACTACAGAACAAATCTATGAAACAGAAAAATCAAATACAGAAGAACAAATCCACAAGTGTAGGTGGTGGTGCACACCATTAATCCCAGCACTCAGGAGGCAGAGGCAGGAGGATCTCTGTGAGTTTGAGGACAGCCTGGTCTACAGAGGGAGTTCCAGGACAGTCAGGACTGTTACATAGAGAACTCTTGTCTCAGGAAACCAACTAACCAACCAACCAACCAACCCACCCACCAACCAAATCTATAAGACTAAACACTGATTTCTGCAAAGAATGGCATCAAAGAGCAGTGAAGGTCAGACTGTCAATTGTCTCCCTACACAAACACACTCAAGGGTTACTAATACAGAAATGAAAGTAAAACAGTAAGATTTCTAGAAGGCAGTATTATAGAGTATCTCATGACTCTGAGTGAAAAAGAATGCTTACATCAGACATCTTAACTTTTCAAGATGTTTTGGCTAATCTTTATCTTTTCCTTCTTTAGACTGTTTTAATTTCTCTGAAACCAAGTGTTGATGTGCAGCTGGTGCTGGCCTTTTTCTTGCTACGTAGCCCAGGCTAGCCTAAAACTCATTCATGGTACTCCTGCCTCAGGATTATAGGTATATGTCTAAATACCCAGTGTTTTGGCATTCTCAATTTTGTTAAGTTTGAGAATCAATATTACTAATTTATACACATATGAAAAGGAAGATTTTTCTTTGATTTTTCAAGACAGGGTTTATCTGTATAGTTCTGGCTGCCCTGGAATTCACTCTGTAGACCAGGCCTGCCTCTGCCTCCCAAGTGCTGGGACTAAAGGGGTGTGCTGCCACCACCACCTGGCTGAAAAGGAAGATTTTTTATTTATTATTATTTTTGTTTCTTTGAGATAGGGTTTTATGTAGCTCAAGTTGGTTTGAACCTTGACTTATAGCTCAAGAATGACTTTAAATTCCTGTTCTGCCCTCTACCTCCCAAATATAGGGATCACAGGTGTGCATCACCTTGCCTAGACAGTGAGATTTTATTGAAACTGTAAATAAACTTGTGGGAATTGAGTAATTAAGTAACGAAATATGTGTCATTTTGATATAACTCACAGAATATTTTATTACATCCCAAATCTAAATATGTTTGTCTAGCATTTCTGTATATACTCCCTTGTCAGGCATAAAAATAAGGCTTTCAATAAATAAACAAAAACATAATTTCAAAAAGAAAAAAAGGCTTTCAGATGTGGGAGAGCCATCACGTTTCCTACGGAGTGACTGAGGACAGACTCCCAAGAAAAATGTTTAGGATGGACCCCAGTCTCTCTACTGTCCAGTGACCTTGAAAAATTTTTACTCACTATGATTATACCTCAGTTTCTTACCTGGAAAAGATGGATAATAGTGGACTATCCCCCTTAAGAGCTGTGATGATTAAATGCTTTATACTTGAAAGGTACATATTAAGCATTAACAAAGACAATTAAAAAAAAACAACAACACTGAATTTGATTATTTGTTTATAAATGGCTTTTTAAAAAAGATTTATTTACCTTGATCATTCATACTATCCATTATTGTCATCAATTTCTTTAGCCTTGCCATTGACTCCTGTTCATTTCCTTTGCTCATAAAATCTGTTCCAAAACCTGGAATCATCCCCTAGAACAGATTTAAACATAGTCATCAAAGACTTAATATTGCTCAAAATGTCGGTATTTAAATACTAGCTTGGAGACTAATTCTTAAAAACTCCATTTTACTCAATGATTTATGCAAGTATAAGTGTTCTTAGAAATTATAATTAAAAAAATACAAAGTACATTATATAAACTCATAAAAATGTCTATTTTAAACAATGACACTAATAAGGCAGGTGGCTCTTCTGTGATAGCCATGCCAACTGCATTGCCGTTTATTAAACTTGCTTTCTTTGTACAAATAACACAAAAACATATAAAGAAACTTTAGAAATATTTAAAGATAACTAACCAAGATCTGACTGAATGGGCCCATTTTCATGATATTCTGAAACTGTTCATACATGTCTCGTAATGTAAACTGACCTGAAATGCAATATAAATAATTCAGATATAGCAGAAAATGTACATTTCCATTCAATAAAATGAGTATTTTCCTTAATCATGAATTTATCTTGAAGCATATTATCCAATCAATAAACACTCATTGCAAAGTTACTGTGGGGAAGACAAGATGAATGCTATAAGGAATAATATGCACATGGACAAATTGTATCACAGACAAGCTTACTATTCCAGGACATTAGACAGACACATGCAAATAAACAGAAATATAGGAACAAGGCAAGCTACACTTACTAAAATGTCTACAATTAAAAGACTTGACAGAACATAGCAAAAGATAAAGAGAATAATATATATATATATACATATATATATATATATATATATATATATATATTAGTAAAATTCCTATGTTCAATGTATGGGCAAAAATATAAAATAGTGAAAATGATTCATAAGATTTGAAACGTCTTAATAGCTTAGCTATCCACGGTTAGGAAAATGGACAGACTGAGAACAATATAGTACTCAAATAATGCCAGAAGTGATGACACGTGCCTCTAATCCCAGCAGAGACATCTGGATCCTGTGAGTGTGAAGACAGCCTGGTCTACACAGAGTGTTTTAGGACAGCCAAGGCTATATAGAGAGTCCCTGTATGAAAAAAACCAAGTGTTTCATTGATGATTGTAAAATTATTTTGCTGATGGGCATGATGGCTGACACCTGTAATCTCTACATTCAGGAGCCTAAGGAGAGAAGAAGCCAAAGTTTATAGCCAGTCAGGGCTACAAACGCAGATTCTGGCTCAAAAACAAATTATACAGGCTGGTCAGTGAATGAGGTACTTGCCATGCAAACTGATGACCCGAGTTCAATCCCCGGTAACCACAAAAAGGTAGAAGAAGTCGAGAATTGACTTCAGTTTTTCTCTGATCTCTATATACATGGCAAAGCGTGTGCACAAACATAACGATACATAATAACAATAATAATAAATTAAGGGAGAAATCATGTTGTATGAAATAAACTGACTGAGGTTAAAATGAACACAATACAGAGTTTCGAAAATAACCTGGGCTGGGGAGATGGTTCGATGACTAAGAGTGCTTGCTGTTCTGCTGTAAGCATCAGCATTTAGATTCTAGCATCCACTTTGGTCATTCATAAAGAAATGAAACCAGCTAGATGGCTCAGTGGGCAAAGATATTTGCCACCAAAACTAATGAGCTGAGTGAGTTTGATCTCCAGAGACCATATAAAGGTAGGAGAGAAAAATAGACTCCAGCAGGTTATCCTCTGAACTCCACACACATGACAAGTATATACACGTTCATAATAAACACACGTCAATTTTTTGTTCACTGAATAAACACAAAATCCATGAAACAGAATCAAATGAAAACTTAAAAAAGTAGAAAAACCAGGTGACACTATCAAATATTAACAACTGGAGAACATGAAAACAATCATTAAGAAGTTAGGTAAAGTCTGAGTCTGGTGACCTCAAAATGACCAAAATATAAGGAATAAAAACTAAAATGCCTCAGAAATCTAAAGAGTCAGAAATCAGACAAGAGACAAACTATGTACAGTATACAGAAGCAAAACTAGGGCACTGCTTCAAAATAGAAGAAGGCCTGGCATGGTACACACCTTTACTCCTAGAACTCATGAGGCAGAGGCGGGGGAATCTGAGCCCAGCCTAGCCTACATAACAAGTTCCAGGACAGTCAGGGCCACATTGTGAGACCCTGTCTCAAAACAAAACAAAACAAACAAAAAGAAAACACACAAAATGATAGAAGGGAGAGAAATCAGGCAATGAATCCATATTTACTGAAGACCTGTGTCAGATAGGGAGCAAGGTACTATGAAAATGAAAGATGAAGACCGCAGCTATGATCCTGACCTACACCTCACACAGTGAAGATAAGCTAGATATCAAAATGGTTGTGATCAATGATAATAATTATAGAGTTCAAAGGAACATGCATCAGAGGCTTTTAATTTAAGTCTAAGAATCAGGTAAGACATCAGAGGTGAGATCTAGTCTATGAATTAGGTGTTTGTCCACAGGTAGTATAAAGAGAGGATGTACGTAATAGAGGGACTAGCAAAAAGTATGAGCAACTTAACATTTGAGAAACTGAAAGCGCAGCATGACTGGCACAGAATGCTAAATATAGCAGAGTCAAAAGCTAATGTAGAAGACATGAACTAGATAAGGGGATCATTTACACGCACTCTAAGGACAATGGGAAGCTGGTGGAGAATTTTAGATTGATGGGGTCATAGCCGAATTTCTGAAAATTCTCATTTTTCTGAATAAAGAGATCAGCCAGGCTTAGTGACACACACCTGTAACTCCATCATTCCAGAGGCTGAAGTAAAAGGATCTCAAGTTCAAGGATGATTTGGTTGTGGTGGTTTGAATGGTAACAGTTCCCACTGGATCATACATTTGAACGTTTGGTTCTCAGTTGGTATATTGGTTGGGAATGATTAGAAGGTGTGGCCTTGTTGGAGAAGCGTCACTGGAGCAGGCTTTGAGGTTCAAAAGCCCATGCCATCCCCAGTTTTGCTCTCTTTGCTTTGAACCTGTGAATCATATGTAAGCTCTCAGCTACTACTGCAACATCATGCCTGTCTGTGTGCTGCCATGCTTCCTACTGTGATGATCATGAACTCACCGCCTGCCTGTTGCCATGTTCCCTACCATGATGGCCATGGACTCTCTCTCTCTGAATCTAGAAGCAAGCCTCCAATGAAATACTTCCTTTTATGAGCAATTGAGACATGAGATAAAATAGCATGGCTGCAGAATAGTTGAGAGAATGGTTAATAAACTGGATGTATTCAAGAGGTAAAAGCACTACAAACTAGATGACAAATGGGGGGAAAGGTTGACAGAGGTAATGAAAAAGAAGAATAAATAATGCTAAGAAAATTGTTCAGAGGTAGACTACTTTCCCAGCATGCACAAGACCCTGTGTCCAATCCCAAGCCCAGGGGGTGAAAAATGATATCAATAAATGACACCCAAGTTTCTGACTCCATACATAGGCAAATGGTATTAACCCTCACTAATAAAAATGGTGGTGTGAGCCAGGCAATAGTGGTACACACTTAATTTTAGCATTTAGGAGGCAGAGGCAGCCTGGTCTACACAGAGAAACCCTGTCTCAAAAAATAAAAAAAACAAACAAACCAAAACACTAAAAAATGGCAAAGTGTGATGGCACACCCTGTAATCTCAGTGCCTGAAAGGTAGAGGCAAGAGCAAAAGGTATTCCAGACCAACCCAGGATATAAGACCCTGTGCCAATATATAGATATATAGTATATTCTGAATTCTCAACTGTTTTTGTTTCAAGGATGAAAATAAAAGCTTCTATTTTAACTTCCATATAGTTTGATTATAACAAAACTAATTCAGTAGCTGCTCAGATGCCCAAGAATTAAAATGATTTGCATATAAATCATCTAAAACAAGCATTTGAGCTTTTTTGGGGGGAGACAGTCTTGTTATGTAGCCCTGAATAGTCTGGAATTCACTTTGTAGATCAGGTTAGCCTGGAACTCAAAGAGATTAAAGGCATATGCCACTATGCCCAGCTTAAAAATGTATTTGAAAAATTGATTCTAATTGCAGACATTATCATTTCCAATGAATCAATAGTAAATGTATCAAAAAGATGAGGGCTGGGAATATGGTTCAGTGGGTAAAGGTGCTTGTCTTGCAAGTCCAAAGACCCAAGTTCAATCCCTGGAACCCATGTAAAGATATAAAAGAACAAACTTCATCTAGGTATCCTCTAGCTTCTTTATGAGAGCTATAGACATGTACTACTTCCTCCCCACATAAATTTTATAAAAACAAAAGAAAAATTAAGGGAAAGTAAATAGTGGACGCCTGTAACCCAAGTAGAAGAAGGAGGATCAGAAGTTCAAAAACAACTTGAGCTACACAGTAAGATCTCTCTCAGAAAACCATGCTTTGGGAGGTAGACAGCAATAAAGTGATTGCTATCATGCACAAAGCCCTGGGGGCAATCTTCATCACCACAAAAAAGAAAAACAAAAGAAAAAGAAAACATTTGAAATCAAATGCTTTTTTTGCTACAAATATACCATGCTTCAGCTTCTCTATAAGTGCCTCATTATCATCCAACTTCAACTCGTTGACTTTATCTATCAGTCCTTCAATGTCACCCATACCTATAAGACACCAAAAAGAAAAATGAATAACTAATAATATTCTCAACTTTACGTTATGCAAATCACACTGACAGATGTAATAGTTCTGCAAAGTAAAGTACTCTTACTATATTTTACATGAAAAAAAAGAAAACTGATGCTAAGGAGGAAGAAGCAAAGGCATACATACATCAAGGAAAACAGCGCAGGGCTAACCGCCTAATTCCATGTTCTCTAACTATACCACATTAGGACAATAGAACAGTTTTACTATCATTAAAACTTCTAATACTATAACTACATGTTTCTGTGTTATGTGCTCAAACACTTAAAAAAAAAAAAAAACTTACATCCAATAACTCATTTTACTATTATAACCACAGAGAACAAGAATTTAGAAGGCTGGGGATGCAGCACAGCAGCACAAAAGGCCCTGGCTTTGATCCCCAGCACTTTAAAGAAGCAAGGAATGAAAAGAAAGATAGAAGTTAGAATGGGAGTCACAGAAGGAAAGGACTGTCTTAAACTAGTTAGTAAGCACAGGGTTAAAACCCTAATTTAGTATAAGATCTATCTCAGAGATGGTTCTATAATTCCACACTGTACGTACCAAGAAGTTTGCTGATGAAAGGCTGTGTTTTGAAAGGTTCAAAGTCATCTATATGTTCCCCTGTACCAATGAAAATAATTGGACTTTTTGTGGCAGCAACTCTACACAGAAAAAAAAAAAATAATAATAATAATAACCTCAAAAAAGAAAACAAATAGCCAGAAGAGTTTTCAAAGATAATAAACAAAAAGTATCAAATTAAGTTTGTTTGTTTGTATTTTCACTAGTTAGAACCATCAGACAGGCTCCAAAATCCCATTTCTACTTAAACCTCTTTTATGGATCATTCATTATTAAAATATTCTGAAAAACAGAAACTCACAAATATACACATGATCCCAAGGTATAGAAGAAATGATTTACAGAGCAAAGGGTTTATCAACCATAAAACTTCAACTGATACTCACGCACTGAGAGCGCCACCTCCTTTTGCATGACCATCAAGTTTTGTCACTATTACTGAAGCTACATCTACTTTATCTTTAAAAGCCTTCGCCTGCGCCTCACAAGCCTGTCCAATGGATGCATCCATCACATAAACAATGTTATCTGGTTGCTAGAAAGAATAAATAGAAAGACTTATTTTTACCAATGGTAAGAAAAAGTCACCATGAGCACGTCTAGAAGGCTTACTGTAAATATTAATAAATACTGACTGAGGGAACACCATGAATTAAGTGGCATATAGGGCTAGACTAAGAGATAAGTAAGAAAACCTTTGAGCCCATGATACATACAAGAAAATATGGTAACATCTTTGGAAATTATTCTGGGCTGAGGCCTGAATAAAGAAGAAAAATTGACTGGAAGTGGTAGCTCATGCCTTTAATACAGCACTTGGGAGTCAGAGGCAGATGGATCTCTGTGTTTGAGGCCAGCCTGGTCTACAGAGTGAGTTCCAGGACAGCACGGGCTACATAGAGTCTGTTTCAAATACAGGAAAAGGGAAGGAGGAGGGAGGGAAGGGAAGAAACAGAGAGAGTGGGGAGAGAGACGGGGGGGGGGGGGGGGGAGAGAGAGAGAGAGAGAGAGAGAGAGAGAGAGAGAGAGAGAGAGTAGAAATAAGGACAAGGAGGAAGGAAGAGAAGAATAGGAGGGGGATGTTATGCAAACACCTCCTAGAATGACACCGAAGGCAAAGGAACAGTAAAAATGAATCAGAAAAGGTACAAAACAGACGGTGTATTCTGAAAACAATCAGTAACAGACTGAGGCTGTGTCCCTTAGATCTGTTCCCATTCCTCAAAATAATAGGAGCACTAAAAACACACTAATTAGTACCAATAACTAACCAAAGAATTATTGACAACATTCCAATAAACAAACATGAATTTCTAATGTATGCAACAGGTGTTGAGCTACTTCCTACACCTACATTATTTCCATAACTCTATGTTTGTTTTTGTGTGGATGTTTGAATAAGAGTGGGCCCCCAAAGCCTCATATATTTGAATGCTTAGCCATAGGGAGTGGCACACTTGAGAAGGATTAGCAAGTGTGGCCATGCTGGAGTAGGTGTGGCCTTGTTGGAGGAAGTGTCACTGGGGGTGGGCTTTGAGGTTTCAAAAGCTGAAGCCAGGCCCAGAGGCTTTCTCTCTTCTGCTGCCTGCAGATCTGGATGCAGCCCCTTCTCCATGTTCCCCACCATGAGAAGGGACTCTGAAATTTTAAGCCAGTCGCAATTATATGTGTTATTTTTTAAGAATTGCAATAAAATAGTGACTAACACATAGGGTCTTACTATGTAGCCTTGGTTGGCCTAGATCTAGATGTTATCATGCTAGTTTGAACCATCTGTGCTTCCCAAGTACTAGGATAAAAGGCATGTGTCACCACACCCAGCTCCATCTTTTAGGAGCTTTAAAGGAGACATTAAATGATAACATTAATGTTTCATTTTGGAAAATCTTCAAAATTATTGTTTCTACTGAATTTAGATAAACTCAATCAGGTTTCATAGTTAAATTGATTCAAATTCTTTAAATAATGTTCATGAAAAACTACTTACTATAGCATTAGAAACTTGAAGCATTTCTTCAAACAAAGAATCTTCTTGTTTGTGCCGACCACTTGTATCAACAATAATAATTTCAAAATTTTCATTTTTGAATTTCTCCACTCCTTCAGAAGCAATGATGACAGGATCCATTTCTGTATAGCTATTAAATATAAACAAATATTTAATACTAAGATGGGAAAACACCCAAATAATTACTTTTAATCTATTTTGAAAAAGTGAAAAATTATATTTCAATTAAAACTTCCTAATAAGTAAAAAATACAGAAGCCATTTCTTTTTTATAAAAAAAATTTATTTATTTATTTATTATGTGCACAGTATTATGTATACAGTGTTCTGCATGCACATATACCTACCTCCACTACAGGCCAGAATAGGGCACAGGAACAAATTACAGATGGTGTGAGCCACCATATGTTTGCTGGGAATTGAACTCAGGACCTCTGGAAGAGCAGTCAATGTTCAACCTCTGAGCCACCTCTCTTGCCTCCAAGAACCCATTTGTTTGGCATGATGAGGAACCACTGAACTTTCACACAAAAGTCTACATTAATTCTAATGCATGTATTTTCAAAATTGCTTCCTTAAATATATTTTAGCATCTTCTTTAGTAAGTTATGCTACAAAGCATATTTATTCATGCTTTTCCATTTAATAACCCTTTGCTATCACTTTATAAAATTATTAAATTGTACAGCACCCCATCAGATGATGACATCATCATTTTCTATGTAAATCAAGGTTGGTATGTTAGTATCAAAAGGACATGAAATAAATACTTCTGAAAAAGGAGAAAGAAAGAATGGGAGCTGGAGAGATGGCTCAGCAGTTAAGAGCACTGGCTACTCTTCCAGAGGACCCAGGTTCAGTTCCAGGCACCCACAAAGCAGGGCTCACAACATATTTACCTCCAGTTCCTCTTCTAGCCTGCAAGGGCACCAGGCAGGTACACATGTGGTGCACAGACACATATGCAAGCAAACCCACACACAGAATAAATAAAGTCAAAATGACAGCTATTAGCATACTAGACATCATTTAATAAATCAATTAATATTTTTTAAGATAAGGTTTCACTATGAAGCCCTGGCTAACCTGGTTATATAGCTCTGAGTAGTCTTGAACTCATGATAACCCTCACCTCAGCATCTTTATTTTTGCTTTCTTCCTTATTTTGGTTTTTCGAGACAGGGTTTCTCTATGTAACAGCCCTGGCAGTGCTTTGTAGACCAGGCTGAGCTCACAGAGATCTACCTGCCTCTGCCTCCTGAGTGCTGGGATTAAAGGTGTGGGTGGGCACCATTCCTGGCCATCACCTCAGCATCTTAAAAATTAAATTACAGCCATAAAACTAGAATTTGTAAACGTATAAGGGAACATGATCAAAGATCTTTGTAGAAAGTAATAATGAGCCAGTCAGTGATGGTGCACACCTTTAATCCCAGGACTTGGGAGGCAGAGGTAGGTGGATCTCTGAGTTTGAGGCCAGCATGGTCAGCAGAGGGGGTTCCAGGAGAGCTCAAAAACACAAAAGTGATAATGACTACATATATACAGATAGTAAGTTACATAAAAAATTAATTATAATTCTAAAATTAAATCCTCCTTCTAACAAATGATACAATAAAGCATACCACTACATTCAGTTTTGTGTTATATGTATTTTTTATTCAATCTTCTACATGTGTATGTATATAAGCACAAATAACCCATGGTGCAGTTGTGGAGTCACGGTACTCTTTCTACCTTCAAGGTCCTGGAGATTGAATTCAGGTTGCCATTCCTGCTCACAAGTACCATTACCATCTCAACAATCCCCACTATATTCATTTTAATGAGGACTGGTTCCTGGGGTGAAGGGGGTTGTTTAGATTTTTAATGTGAGCTTGTGCGTGTGTGCCTATGTGTGTGCATGTGCGTGTAACTAGACACTAAACTCAGGGTCTTGTATATCCTAGACAAGTACTCATTCCATAATCCATAAGCTACATGCACAGTCCCCATTTGATAAGTTCTGACAAATTTATGCAATCCATATAACCACTGCTATAGGAATCAAAGCACAAAGCAGCTGTGCTAGCTAGTTTTATGTCAACTTGACACAAGCTTGAGCTATCTACAAGAACCTCAACTGAGAAAAATGCCTCCATAAGATCACTGGGCTGCTAGTCCTGGGTTCTAAGAGAAAGAAAGCTGAGCAGGCTGAGAAGACAGGATGAACAAGCCAGGAATCATCACCCTTCATGACCTCTGCATCAGTTCCTACCTCCAGGCTCCTGCCCTGTTGAGTTCCTGTCCTCCACTTCCTTCAATGACGGACTACGATTTGGAAGTATAAGCCAAATAAATCCATTCCTCCCTTTGGGTCATGGTGTTTCATCATAGAAACAGTAACCCTAACTAAAACAGCAGACAAAACTCATTTTCATTTAAAATAATTTGACCTTCCTATAAATATCTGTATGGTAGATGGTAATAAAAAGCATTTAAAGTGATAATTAGGTATATTACTATACTTCATTTTTAAAGGTATACTTATTTGCAGGTGTGTGCACATGCACACACATGTGAGCATACCCACCCATAGATATGCCACACTACATATGTGGAGGTCAAAGAGTAAATTTCCAAAGTCGGTTTTCTCCTTTCACCATGCTTCTGGGAGTCAAACTAAAGTTGTCAGGCCCCTACCACATACTGATAAATGATAAAGAATTCCAAGAATATATTTCCTAGCATGTTTTAATGAGGATGCTTCAGGTGTCTTTAAACAAAAAACAGAAACAATGTATGGTGTCACCCAGAAGATGGAGCCTAGCAACCAGAAGACGGAGGCAAAAGGATCACAAGTCAGAGGCCAATATGGACTACTAGTTTTCCAGGGCAGACAGGACTAAAACTGAGACTGCGTCTCAAAAAGCCAAACAAACAAAAATAGAAAAATAGTAACCTACCTTCCATAGAATGGAATTCTTGCTTTGGTGGCATTCTGTTTCAGCTGGTCAAAAGCACCTAGGAGATAAAGAATTAATGAAGCCTCAAATGTAACAATAAAAATCACAAAAAGAAAATTTTTATTTTAACACACTACCTGCTCTGAATGTATCTGCACATATCAAACAGGTCTTCCAACCTTTTCTCTGGTAAAAATATGCTAACTGGGAAAGGAAGATTAAAAATAAAGTATCAGAACAAACCATTTTATATAAAATTTTTGCTTAATCTTATTTCTCTATGAAGAAAAATTGCTCATAATTCTCTTGAATGCAATATTAAGTATTTTGAGGCACAACAAAAGTTCCAAAGAGTTTAAATTCTAATTCTCATTCAATGAATTAAGATGATAAAGCAGAAACAATCATTGTTAAACAACCATCACTCTTGCCCTTAAAGTATAACATGGCTAAGACTTGTTGGTGACAGAAAAAACACTAGCAACCAAGCTGGGGAACCCAATCATAATGACTGAAATTAAGGAGGATATGTAAAAGGCAACATCATGCACAGTGTGTCATTCAAAGGGGAGCTTTGTGTCAAGAGAGAATGTAAATTCCCTTGTTTTCTTCAATTAAAAAAAAAAAAAAAAATCCCTGTGTGCATACACACTCTCCTCCTCCTACGCCCTCTCTTTCACACCATGTGGCTGTGGCTGTTGCTGAACTGGAAGTAACTATGGAACAGAATGGCCTCAACACATAAAGATCCACCTCCTCTTCCTCTATAAGGACAGGAAGTGCCTTTGCTTTTTCAAAAGAAACCAGACTTAACATTATTTTTTACTGTTTTTTTTTGAGATGGTCTCATATAGCTAAAGCTGACCTCAAGCTCACCATGCAGCTGAGGATGAACTTGAATTCCTGACCCCCCACCTCCACACGTATCAGGCCACAGATGTGCATCAGCACACCTGACCTACAAGTCTAACACTCTGACAATACGAGAGGAGACTGCAGGACTCCACTTCATGTCCTACAGAAATATCACAAAAGCAGAGAAGACACCCAGTAACAAGACTATAAAACAATATACAGATACTCAAATATAGCTTCCATATGATTTTTTAAAAGTGTATTTACCTTTGAACATGTTGTCGTTTTACCACTCCCTTGCAATCCAACAAACATGATTACATTCTGCTTTCCTTTAGTTGGTGTCCATGCTTTAACTCCAGGGTCTACAAGCTGTATAACAGAAATAAAAATGTCAGACTAACGTGACATTCAAAAGTCCAATGACATTTAAATTATAAACATCAAACTAAGGATGCTTCCATTTTATTGAAGTCACCATAATCCCAACATTCTCATGCAACTCTACTAGTCCCTTCATGCAGTATGAAATTTAAGAGTTTTATAAAACACTGCAGTGTTGAAGTCATACTAAGGCCTTTCATATCAAAGCAATTTAGAGGTAAGGAGCTCATTTACATCACATATCTGTTATTACAACTACATAAATGTGAAACAAATGTACCTGTAGACTCTATATAAACTTCAAATTTGGGGGCCAGTGGATTGACTCAAGAGGTAAAGGTGATTACCATCCTTGATAACCTGAGTTCAGTCCCCAGGACCCACATGATGAAGGGAAACAGCCAACTCTCTTAAGTTGCAGAACATAGTACACACTTGCCAGACACACACAGTCTCTCTCTCTCTCCTCTCTCTCTCTGTAAGTGTAGCTTTTAAATTATTATTTAGCCTCTATACATTTTTTATTACCCAGACATGAAATCTATATGAGATAATTTATATTTCTTTTCTCATATATCAAGTCTTCAAATCCAGCCAGTGTATACTTTTTAAATTTGTCTTGCCTTTTAAATAAAACAAAACTTCTGGGTGGTGCACACCTTTAACCCCAGCATTTGGGAGGGCAGAGGCAAGCCGTCTCTGTGAGTTTGAGGTCAGCCTGGTCTATAGACTGAACTCTACGACAGCCAGAGCAACATAGAAAACTCTGTTAAAAAAAAAAAAAAAAAAAAAAAAAAAAAAAAGGCAGCTTAATTAAATTAAAAGCTAATTCTGGCAGTAGGGATAGAACCTAGGGCTTCATATGCCAAAGCAGGCACTCTGCATTTATGTTTATCACCATCTCCCTCTTTGTACCGAAATTAATGTGTACTTCCTGCTCAAATAACTTTACAATTTAGTCCAGACACATACCAAGTGCTCAATAATCATGTGTCTGGAGGCTTCCATACTGGTATTTATGTTCTAGTTGGCAAATACATATATGAGGCAAAATGATAAATGGCACCTTCTAATTCAAATGTTAAAGTTTTGGAGGCTGGAGAGATGGCTCAGAGGTTAAGAGCACTGACTGCTCTTCCTGAGGTCCTGAGTTCAATTCCCAGCAACCACATGATGGCTCACAACCATCTGAGATCTGGTGCCCTCTTCTGGCCTGCAGGGGATAGATACATGCAGGCAGAAAAGTATACATAATACATAAATCTTTAAAAAAAAATTAAAATTTCTCATGTCAAAAGATCTATAAAGTATTATCTAAAGAGAGCTGGGTGTTGGTGGTGCATGCCTTTAGGGAGGCAGAGGCAGGCAAATCTCTAAGTTCAAGACCAGCCTGGTCTACAGAGCTAGTTCCAGGACAGGCTCAAAAGCAATACAGAGAAACCAAGAAACCCTGTCTCAAAAAACATAATAACAAAAAAGGAAGAAGAAGAAATCAAGGGACAATGAGTTAGTGGGAAAGTGTCACACAGTAACAGTTCTCAAACAAATACAAGGCTTGTTTTCTCTTATTTCATTTTTGAGAGTCTCATGTTACCTAGTTTGGCCCTGAATTCACTATGTAGCTGAAGCTAGCCAAAAACTCCTAATTCTCCTTCTTCTATCTCTTGATGTCCTTGAATTATATTATTACTGTTATAGGTACACACTACCATGCCTTATAAGTGTGTTCAAAACATAATTCAAATTCAAGCCCATTTGGAGCCTGAAATGCTTATTTGTACATGACAACTCCATAACTACAGCTAATATTCTAGACCAGATGTTTACAAGCTAAATTATTATGATCATCATCATGATTACTATTATTATTTGGCTTAAAGAAGCTCTCAATCTGTAACTTAGGCTGGTTTGGAACTCAGTATGTAACCCGGGCTGCCCTAAACTCCTGAATGCTAGCATTACTGGGTGGACTGCCAAGCCTGGTATAAATAAACCTGTAGTGGAACACAGCTCTGCCCACTCATTTAATACTGTTGCATTTCAAAAGCAGAGCTGAAAGAGGTGCAATAGAGACTAAGTGGTTCAGGATCAATAATCTAGAGAATACCATCATGGTATTATACATGAGTTTCAGGGAAGACTGGTAAAAAGGAGGGAAAATAAATCAAAACACACTTTCTTATCCCTTTCCCAAACATGTACACAACTTCAGAAAAACTCCTGAAGTGGGCAAAATCTGTCTTAAATCCATTTCCCTTTCTCCTATCTTTTCAGTATAGAAAGGCTACCCTACATCCATCTCTATCCTATATACTCATGACAGAATAACTCAGCTGTCTATTATGAATGAACATTTTATAAAGCTATCTTCTCATCCTCCTACATTCCTGAAACACATCTTCAACCTTGTAGTATGAAAAATCCTTTATGAACACACTCATTTGTAAGGGTTAGTTGCAATGTGCAATCTGAAACCATATAAACCTCTAGTCTATTGCCCTGAAACTGACACTACCCTATACTTAGTACAGATATTTTCCATCCTAGTACATAAGTCTGTAACACCATGCATTTAGTCACTTAAAACACTGGTTTACTGAGTTATATAAATCTCACATTATCACTCATTTCATTAAACATTAAAAATCAATTTCATCGGGGAAAAAAACATCAGGATTCTTTCAAACTCATGTTAGAGACACAGCTTCTACTTTTTTGTGTGGTGTTAGAGATTCAAACGAGAGTCCCCCTAGTTCATATATTTTCATATGTAATTATATCTTGAATTTTAATCACCAGCAACAATATCGTCAAATTTTTTTTTTTTAACTTCAAGTGACAAGCTCACTTCACTTTGGTAAATAATTCTACCAAATTAAATCTAGGTCAGAATAACCAGATTTTATGCATATTGCTTATTTATGCATATTGCTTATTTACATATAAAATGGTGTTATAAAGCAAAACTTTAGCTTGCAACTGAGCTGAGCTTCAGAGAATCTGAAAGTACAGTACAGAATCTTACATATACTTCCCATCTGAAAATACATACACATAATCAATGGTCACAATTCAATACAGTTAATATCTACTGCTTTGTGAGGTGAAAATTGGCATTTTAATTGTTTGCTGGTAAAGTGTACATCACTAATAATACAGTTTGGTTGGTATCACTGCTTTTTTGTTTGTTGTTTGAGACAGTCTCAATATGTAGCCTGTCTGGCCTCTAATTCATAGCGGTCCACTTGCCTCTGCCTTCCTGTTTTAGTCTTGTCAGAGGGGAGAGATTAAAAATTATTTGATAAAAATAGACAGCTGAACAATTCTACCATGATGTATAATAAATGGAGGAGAGTGTAGAGAAGGGTCCCTACACTCAAAAGACCTAGGGAGGAAGTAATGTGATTAAGGGCATGAGCCACCATGTTCAACTGGTGTTACTGTCTTGATTTGGTAAGCTGTCATGCTGCAGGATATGTTATCATTCTGTGAATCCTGACACCACATTATTTACTAGAAAAACCTGTTTCTAGTTGTGGTGTGATCAGCCCTAGCACACATCTTTAATCCAAGAGCTTTCTGCTTGAATATTGTAAACAGGGTTACATAAAATCAACCATAAATCAAGAGGCAAAGCAAGCAACCAGTTGAAAAGAAGTGAACATAGGATTATTAAGGAAAACAAAACAAAACAAAACAAAACAAAAACCCTACAGAAAGAGTCAGGAAAGAGACCTACACGAAGTAGAGGAGGGGAACATTCACTTTGAGGAGTTGTTTGAGACAGGGAAAAGAGATGGCTTCTGGGACATCAGCTAAGAAGGAAGATCAGGTGGGTATTTTCTCTGCCTCACTGAGCTGGCAGGCTTTCACCCCAGCATCTGGTTCCTGAGTCTTTATTGGTAAAATCAAATGATTGAGATTTTGTTTAAAACAACACTGTCAGGCTGTATAAAAAAGGCAAAGAGTGAGAGCTAGAGGTATAGGTCAATGACAGAGCATGTGCTTCACATGTGAGTTCCTAGGTTCAATTCCCTGCAGGACACACTAGAGTAAATAATGCTTTAGTATTACTATGTAAATTTTAACTTAGCTTATATACATACTGTTCTAGACCATAAGCATCTCTGAGATAAGGACCAATGTTATCTCTGCTGCCCACTAGGCATACTGCCTAGAATAAAGAAGGTACTGAACAAATGCTTCCCAATCTAGTTCTTGATGCTCCAGAGTTGATAATTCTTATAAAGTATCCAAATTTGCTTCCCAGCACCTATATCAGATAACTCACAAGCACTTGTAACTTTAGCTCCAAAGCCTGTGACACTCACAGGCATCAGAAATCACACACGCATGCAAATATTTTTTTTTTTCAAACAACTTTTATCTATTTTGTTTTTTTAAGACAGGGTTTCTCTGTCTGTTCTGGAACTTGCTTCTATAGACCAAGTTGGCCTCAAACTCAGAGATCCACCTGTTGGGATTAAAGATGTACACCATGTTATTAATTTTTTTATATTATACACTTTATGTACCTGCACATTTGTATGTACCATGTGGTGCCTGTGGTGACCAGAAGAGGGCATCAGATCCCCTGGAGTTATGAACTACCATGTGGATGCTAGGAATTGAACCCAGGTCCTCTACAAGAGGAACCAGGGCTCTTAACTGCTGAACCCTCCCATTTATTTTCATTTTTTATTGTTTTCTTTTTCTGTATATGTGTGTCTGCTCATGTCTCACGACACACATGTGAAAGTCAGGAAACAACTAGAGGATGGTTCTCTTCCTCTACCACATAGGCTCCAGGATCAAATTCAGGGTTAAGTCTCAGCAGCAGACACCTCTCTACCAGAAAAGCATCTTGCCATCTCAAATTTGGATTTCAATACAGATGAATTATCCATATTAGAAGGGACTCAAAAGTCATGTTCATTTAAAATCCTATAAGTTTTTATCCATTGAGTCAATGGAGTCATAATATTGATACATTTTTACCTTTACAAGTTCTTTAAATACAGCATGTTGGATCATTTTTCTTTTGTTCAGACCAGATGCCATTTCTTCAAGATCAATTGCAGACCTTCATAACAGTGACAAGGGAAAGAAGTCAGGATAATCTGAAAGTATTTTTATCTCATAAAAAGTAAGAGTATTCAATCATTCATATTAATAGCATAATTAATATCCATATAATTATAGATTTGTAAGATTATACCACAAAAAAATTGTACCAGAAAATACTAGATATAAAACTTTGGTTAGTTTTTCAGGGCTTTCAGTTCAATGCATAAATACTAATTTCTCTGGATATACCTATTTTTTTTCTTGAAGCTTATAAATTATATAGAGAATCACAATGACTTTCTTTCTAGTTCTAAATTCTTAAATGCTAGTAATCCCATATCTTCTCCCAGACTATCAATGCAGAAAGAAGGTATGCTAGGATTGGGATTGAAGAAATTATCAGAAGTGCCTATATGGTTCTAGATGCCCCCACCCATATGCCTCTTCCAATGGATATAGTAGCAAAGACCACACAGTACTCCTTCAAACAGGGACACAGAAACAAAAGAGAATATAAGTCTTCAATCATGAACAAGGCTGATCATGTAGTCTCACCACAATTTCATGAAGAAACTGAATTGTTAAAAAGCTCTTAAATTAAAATTGTATCCCATTTAACTGTATTAAATGACTGAACCCACTCAAATAAAAAAGTCAAGAAAATCTACAATGAAATTAAGTTATCCTTGGTTTGTTCACTATGGAAATACATAGTTCTTCTATTCTTCTTCCATCCATCTAAATCTTTCAGCCAAGGCTGACGTGGGACTTACTACATAACTAAGGCTGGCCCTGAACTCAAACTTCTCTTGCCTCAATCTCCGAGACATGAGCCATCACACCTTGTTCCACAGGCAGTTTTTTGACACATGAATTCTCTATCATTCCAGTGCTGTACAGAAGTATTTCATAATAAAGCAAACTTTCCTAGTTACCACCTCAATTCCAGTAAGCCAAACTTCGTTTGTCCTGTTTTTACACAATTAATTCAACTTACTTTACATTTTCTCTTAATTGCTTCACTAGTTTAATATTAACATCTGCTTCCAATAATGCGGTACATACTTCTTTTAGCATAGCATTTAATACCTGAAAATAAAATTGAAATATGCTCAATGTTTTACTTCAGCAACATAAAAACAATTGATCAGATATCATGTACTATACAGTAGCTTAATAAAGACATAGGAGAGAAAAAATATTATTAAATACCCAGTCATTATATCAAAATATGACATGGTGTGTAGTTTTGCACTTGATATTAAGAATCAAGTATTAATCATCACAATTTTATTCTTATATTAAACCAGTAATAATAACAGCAACACTAAGCCAAAGAAACTTACTAAAACAATAGATAATGCCCATGAAGTTTCCTAAGAAACTGAAGAACTCTGATACCTATATTCACAGCATCCTCTTTTCCTAACTGGAGCAGTATAGAAAACAGAAGACAATTACATAGCCTTACAATTTCTACATATCAAGAGAAAGAAAGTAGAAAAGAGGTCTATTTTCCACTGAAAATTCCCTACCACAAAAGTGTCTAGATACAGGCATTGTGGTTAGAAGGTCATGAAATATAAGCACTGCAATAAAAGATGAAGCTTCAGTCGCTCACAAAACAGGAACATGGACAGTAGAACAGAAGCTGCATTAAGAGGAAGAATTCCTGTTTTGCTTACTGCTTTATCCTTGTTCCAGCAAAATGCCTGCAAAAGGCCTTAAAACAGGAACTGTCTGTCCTTTGTACATCCTTCAGAGACTTATGAAGATTCTCCAGCCCTCATCAAGGGGTGCCGGCCAGAACTGATGTTCAGCAGAGGGATTTATTTGCTTTGGTTAATTTGCTAGTAAAGGGGCCAGAGAAATGGCTCAGAAGTTAAGAGCACTGGCTGCTCTTTCAGAGGTCCTGCGTTTAATTCCCAGCAACCACATGGTGGCTCACAACCATCTGTAACAAGATTGGGTACCCTCTTCTGGCATGCAGGCAGAACACCCTGCATCATAAATAAATACATTAAAAAAAAAAAAAAATTCTTTTTTTTGCTAGTGAAACACCAAGGCTAGAAAACTTGCCAACTCAAGGGGTTATTGTACCTCTACCAAGTATTTCATACACTGACTTACCAATGTACCCCCCCAACCCAAGGGTCTCTCTCACTATATAGCCCCAGCTGGTCTTGAACTTGCCTCTATCCTCTTTTACACATCTGGCTTGTTTCTTCATTACTATTTTGTTGGGAGATAATAATAATAATAAAGCCTCACTATGTAGCCCAAGTGCAAAATTTGTCATCTTTCTCAGACTGTTCTCCCAGAAAAGTAAAATCTGAATAGTGTAGTTTCTAAGATGGTCTTAAAATTGCTTCAGTTCGTTAGTTTTTTATTTTAAAGTACTGATATTAAATTCTACATTAGAATTTTTTTCTGAAACTTCAAACAGAAAACTTTTAGTCATGAGCTTAGTCTTCAATGGCTGTGCCATCTCTCCAACCCAACTTAGAATACTTTTAATGTTATTAGTTCACTCAATTTAAAAAAATTCTTAAAGTAAATGCTATTTTCACATTTTATGCATTAAAGAATCTACCCACATTTCTATCACACAACTATGAAATTAGCCAGGGATTCTAACATGAAACTCAGAAGTTTTTCACTGTTACTACAAACTAGAAAGAATACCATAGACTATAATCACCTGCCTTCAAATAACAAGTGGTTAAGCTACACTGGCAGAAATGAGCCACTGAGTAGATAAGAGAGTGAGAGAGACATTACCCTAAAACCATTAAAGCCACTTAATTGGAGAGCTGGCTCAGTGGTTAGGGGTACTTTCTGCTCTCCCAGAGGATCCAAGTTCAGTTCTGTGATGGTGTGAATGAGAATGGTTCCCACAGACTCATATATTTGAACGTTTGGTTCCCAGTTTGTGGGCTGTTCAGGAGGTGTAGCCTCATGGAGGAGGCATGTCACTGAACGTAAGCTCCGAGGTTGCAAAAGCAGGCTCAGTCTGATTCTCTGCTTTATGCCTGTGAATCAGTCGTGAGCTCTCAGCTACTGCTCCAGTGCATGCCTCTTTAACAGCCATACTCCCCACCATGATGGTCATGGACTCTACAACCCTCTAGAACTGTGAGCCCTTTTTTTTGTTTTGTTTTGTTTTTTTGAGACAGGGTTTCTTTGTGAAGTCCTGGCCTTCCTAGAACTCACTCTGTAAACCAGGCTGGACTTGAGCTCAGAAATTTACCTGCCTCTGCTTCCCTAGTCCTGGGATTAAATGTGTACACCTGTGCACCACCACCCAGCTAAACACTTTCTTTTTTAAGAAAGTTGCCATTGCCTTGGTCAGCAATAGACAACCAACCGAGACAGGTTCCTAGCACCTACATGGTGGCTCACAACCATTCACAACCCCAGTTCCAGGGGATCCAATGCCCTCTTCTGACCTCTGTCCATCACATACACACATGCTGCACAGACACATACAGGCAAAACACTCATAAAATTAAAATCACACACAAAGATTTTAAATACACATAAAATTAAATAACTAAATCTAACAAAAGGACATATAAACTCAGACTATTTCAGGTATGATAATGGTTTTGGTTATGATTTGTCTATCAGAAATTACCAGAAAAACCTTCCATGAGGAAATAAGGGAGAGAAGCTCTTTCTTCCTGGCTTGAACTGCCTCAGACTCCCTATGTATGTGCCGCTACACTAGGAATGATGACTGAAAGATACAGGAAAAACAGATAAGCACATGTCTACCAAGAAGAAAGTGCCAGGACGCTTTAAGTCTATGTTGAGACAGAACAGCGAGCTACATATCAAAAGGTAGGGTTTTTTTTTTTTTTTTCATTTTGTTTTTTAAGTTCTGACAATTAAGGTGAAATAACAGGAGAAGAGATGGCTCAGTGGTGTACAGTACTTGCTGCTCTTCCAGAGGATCCAAGTTTGAGTCCAGGTACTTGGGCAGCTCACAGCCCCCTGAAATTCGATCTCAGATACCTCACCTCTCCTGGCCTCCCTGAGCACCTGCACTGGTGACATAACCTCACACAATTAAAAATAAGAGGTAAGATAATAAGGTAGTTGTTTTTTTTTTTTAATGCACTCCTTACAGTTATAGTATATTTATAGTACTAAATCTACCTCGAATTAAATCATACCTCTAAAGATCATTATTTAGTCTAGGTCTCTAATCCTAGTAACAATGCACCAGCACATGTATCTTACACTATTTACATACCTCTTCATTGATAATGGTGGCATTGCTCAACGAGCGTAATGCTGATGTTATTTTTCTTCCAAGATCTGCTAGAACCATCTTGAAGGTTTTATGATATACTTATGACTCTAGAAAAGAAAAGATAATATTAGTTTAAAACCATTTCTCATTAACTCCTAACTGAAGAATAAGAGGAATATTTAAATTCAAAATAAACTACTTCAATGTTTAAACACTGTAATTTCAACTTGTATTGTTTAAACCTCAATTTTAATACATCCACTTCAAAGGCAAAAATGTCTATTTAGTTATTATGTCTTCCATTTAAATATCTGATTAGAGAATATTAGACAAATTGTCATCAGATTTAAAATATCAAATAATGCTGGGTGGTGGTGGCTCACACCTTTAGTCCCAGCACTTGGGAGGCAGAGACAGGCAAATCTCTCTGAGTTCCAGGACAGCCTGCTCTACAAAGCGAGTTCCAGGATAGGCTCAAAGCTACAGAGAAGGCCTGCCCTAAAAAAAAAAAAAAAAAAATCTATCAAGGAAATAAAACTATGGTCTTTAACTAATTTTGTTCTCTGGCACAAGCTCATGAATATGAGTCACTGAATGATGATGCACCATGTCCACTTGTAAATAAAGAAGTGAACTCTCCAGGAACAGTACTCAATTCCCACATCATAGAACTCCATGCTACTTTGAATCTCACTCTTAAGCAAAAAAGAAAAAGGAAAACTACCTTAATTCATAAGTCACCTAACTTTTCTAGCACAAAACAAATCAACTGCTGAGTCATTAACTATATGAGAGACTCCCACTAAATAACCCCTGGCACCTGGGATTCAGAAGTAGATGATCTCTTTGAGTTAGAAGTTAGTCTAGTCTACACAGAGAATTCCAGACAAGCCAGGGCTACATAGTAAAACCCTGTCTCCAAAAAAAAAAAAAAAAAAAAAAAAAAATCATATTACTTTTATTCTTTTAACCACTAAGGAAACAATTACTCTTCCCATTCCAAAGTGATTTCCCGATTTCTTTTTTCCCCAAGACAGGGCTTCTCTGTGCAATCCTGGCTGTCCTGGAACTCACTCTGTAGACCAGGCCTTGCCTCTAGCTCCCGAGTGCTGGAATCAAAGATGTGCACTGCCACCTCTCACACCCCTCCCCACTCCGATTTCCTAACTCCAAAATTCAGTAACCTCAAAAATCCTTTCCCTTAAGCCAGGCATGGGGTATACATCTGAAATCTTAGCACTTGAAAATATGGGAACAGGAGGAACAGGAATGAGTCGGAGGCCAGACTGAGTTACATGAGACAGTCTAAAACAAACATAAAAATAAGGTACCGCTTTATAAAAGCATACAGATATACTGCTACATGTAAGGATCACAGTACTCACAGAAGCTGAGTAAATATGATTAGTACTGCCTGCCCCAACATGCTTTATTTACTAGCTGGTATGGTACATGAATGAATAGCAGAATAAATGTCAAAACAAATGCCTCTTGCCTAACTAACTACAAAGGAGAAAATCACCTCCTGTCTCTGGAGCCTGCATGTTACCTTTGAACTGAAATTACAGTGTTAGCCATCAACTTGCCAACAACTGCTGAACTGTAGATTTGTCAGCCTCTGTAACTGACTGAGCCAATATCTATAATTCTGAATATAGGCAGACTAAATAGGTGGGAAGGAAGGCAAAAGGGAACTTGTTAAGTGTGAAATGGAGTGAGCAGAAATGCAAACATAGGAGAGCCACAGGGGCTGGGTAAAAAGGTATTCTAGTCAGGGGAGAGCGTTATACAGAAGGAATGAAAGTTTTAACAGCTTGAAAACAGTCTAATATAAACAATATTGGACAAGAGGTAACTGCTCAAAATAACTATTTTGGCAGGCTTTTTGAGATTATCTAGACTTGGTCCTATTTTGCAGAGTATACAAGATACTAAAAATAAGACAAATACAAACTGGGCATAGGGACTCCCATGTCTTTAATTCCAGCCCTCCAGAGGCAGAGGCTCTGTAAGTTTCAGGCCAGCCTGTCTACATAGACAGTTTCAGAACAGGCAGGGCTAGAAAGACCCAATCTCAAAAAAGAAAGAAGGGGGAGGGGAGGGGAGGAGAAGGGAGGGAGACCGGAGGGGGGGAAATGGAGGGGAGGGGAGGGAGAAAAAGAGAGATGGTTCAGCAGTTAAAATTTACTGATATTCCACAAGACTTGAGTTCAGCTCCCCATTCACACTTAAAGCAGCACACAACTGCCTGTAAAGCCATTTCCAAGGGAGTGAGGAAACCTCTTGTAACCCTCACACAAATTGCAAACATTGACACAGACACACAAATAATAAAAATAAATCCTTTAAAAAAAATAATAAGGGGCTGGAGATATGGCTCAACCGGTAAGACCACTGACTGCTCTACCAGAGGGCTGGGTTCAGCTCCCAACACCCACATGGCAACTGACAACATAACACACAACTGCATCTATTCCAGTTCTAGGGAATTTGGTGCCCTCACCAGGCTCTTCTAGCTCCAGGCATCATGTGGTGCACAGACATACATGAAGACAAAAAACAAACAAGCATAACAAATGAAATAAAAAAGTTCATTCAAAAGGAAAACAGTAAGAAAATAGCTAATGTATTTGCCACAGATCGACTTAAGACACTGAGCTTAGGGGAGTTAAAGATGAAGAAGGAAGGGAAATGAATTCAGTCTAAGAGAAAGATATCTCGGGCTGAGCTAAACATTACATTCCAACTCAAGCAAAATTTAATAATTTAGAAGTTAATAATTGCTATTTCCAGGTGCGGTGTTGGATACCTTTAATCCCAGCACTTGGGAAACAGAGGACAGGAGATCTCTTTGAGTTATAGGCCATCTACATAGTGAGTTCTAGGCCAGCAAGGTCTACATAATGAAACACTGTCTAAATTTTAAAAAATAATTAATTAATTGAAAAATTAGAGCTGGACATGGTGGAGATAGAAGTAGAGCTTCTATATAGAAGTGAGCTAGAGCCATGGTGAGACAGTGAGACCCTGTCTTTAAAAAAATTAAAAATTTAAATTACATTTAAAATTTTTTAAATTATTGCTGACATGGTGAAAATGAGAAAAGTTTTGCTTACCTTAATTTAAGCAAAGGTTTTTTGTTGCTGGTTTTTTTTTTTTTTTTTTTTTTTTTTTTAAAGTTACATGGTTGTTTAACCTCAAAAAGCAACTACTTTATGGAAAGGATCCAAGATTTACTTCTTATCCCATATCCAATAAGCTAAATCAATGAAGTAAGTACTTTCCATGGAAGTGGGATGTTTCTGATCCTTTTATCACTGTTACCAGGCATGATTTGTTCCTATCTGTGACATCACAATGAACTTGTTAAGATGACATCATGAACAGACCATTCTTCATTTTAAAAAGTTAGACCAATTAATTGTTAAAATGCATCTAGGGGTCTGGAGAGATGGCTCACAGTAAGAACACTTACTTTTCCACAGGAACTTGGGTTTGATTCCCAGCACTCACAACTCACAACCATTTGTAACTCCAGTTCAAGGGGATCCATATCCTCCTCTGACCACTACAAGATACCAGGTACATACACATACATATATACATGCAAGTAAAACACTCAAATACACACAAAATAAAAAATAACTTCTCACCAATGAATTTAGATGGGCATGATGGCACACACTCTTAATCCCAGCATTTGGAAGCAGAGGCAGGTGGCTACCTGTGATTTTAAGCCCAGCCTGATCTATATGGCATGGCAATTTCTAGGGCAGGCAAGGTTATATTAAAAAAAAAAGTTTAATCTCCCATACTGTAGCTTTTCTTTTTGTTTATTTGCTTTTTAGACAGTCCTTCTACATAGATCCGACTGGGATTAAAGATGCCATGGCCTGCCTGTTGTGGCTCTTTTAAACTAAAAAAAAAAAAGGGGGGGGGAGATGATGACACACATACATGCGACATTTTCCAACACACCTTTCTTTATGTAAGTATTTTTCTTTTTTAAAAAAAACTATACTATTTGAAGCTAGGTTTCATGTATGGCTGGCCTTGAACTTAGTCATAAGGATGATCTTCAACTTTTGAACTGCCTCCCTCCCTCCACCTCCCAAGAACAAAGATTACATGGTGCTAGGAACTGAACTCAGGGTTTCTCACAGCCCAAACAGATACTATACTCATCAAACAACATGCCCAGCTTACCTAAGTACCTTTAACAGCACAACTTAGAAATATTTTTCTTTCCAAAAATCTGAACTTTGGGAGAATCATGAATTTCAGGCTAGCATAGGCTAACAGCAAGTTCCAGGCCAATCTCAGCTAGTGAGCCACAGTTTAAAAGAAAGAAGTGGTGCACGCCTTTAATCCCAGCACTTGGGAGCAGCTCTCAGATCTCTGAGTTTGAGCACAGCAAGGCTATGTGGAAAGAAAACAGTTACTATATATATGACCCAAAAATTCTACTCCAAAATATTAATCCAAGAAAAAACAAGATATATGTAAAAAAAAAAAATCATAGTCAGTCACAACATCTAGTTCTAGCTAAAACTAGAAACAACCCAAATATCCTCTCACCTGATAAATGGCTAAGTTAAATATGATGGAACCATATACTAGGCTATTAATAGGCAAGAAAAAGAAATGAAGTACAGGACATGGAAAGACATGGATAAATCTTGAACACATTATGCATAGGAGATGACATCAGTCACAAAAGACCAGATGCTACCATTTCATTTACAAAACATCCATAGCAGACACATCTACAGAAACACTGTGGATCCACAGTTGCCCAGAGCTCAGGGAAATAAAATGCAGAGTGACTGCTAGTGGGTATGATGTTTGTTCAATGGGTGATGGAAACGTTCTAAAACTGATTATGGTAGTAGCTATACACTGCTGTAGATTCATCAAAAGTCCTCAAATTGTACATTTCAGGCAAACTGATTGGTATAAGAATCATATATCATGCTGAGTGATGACTCAGTTAGTAAAATGGATTACAGTGAGGGGCTGAGTTTTAGAATGCATACCACAACATACAAGTTTTTGTTTGTTTGCTTGGCTGGTTCTTTTTGAGGCAAGCTTTAATGTGCACAAGGTT